GCCCCGCCCCCGCTCTGTTTTCCCGTTCTGCGGAGGGCCACCTCCTGCCCAGGCAGCCCTGCCTTGTCATCCTGCCTTCCTCCGCCTCCTTCGGCACGTCTGCTGCTAGTGGGTCTTGTCCGGATTTGCATTTCAGTTAGGTCTGCAGGCCAGAGCTGCAGCCCCCACTCTGTTCTGCTGGGCACTGCTTTTTAGCTATCTGACCTAACCACTGTTTTTTCCTAACTCGCCCACTGAAGTTAAGCACTCTTCTCTTCATAAGAGAAACAAATGGGCCAACAAACGTCCTTCCCTCCTCCTCATGCACTTACATGCAAATGTTTCCCAGTTGTAACATCAAGCACACCCCACATTAGAGTAGCCTAGTAGACACTCTCCTGCTAGGCCCAGCACCCTGTTCATGAACACACAGGAATCTGTTTGGGAAAGGTAAAGGCACGTAGCAAAGAATATGGAGGAGAACCTCCCTCTGCAAGGGGTAAAGGAGGAGTCCTTTGGCAAGCGGGCAGAAGGACATGAAACCATTTCATAACAACATCCCTCTTGCAAATGCTATGGCATCCCTTTGCAGCATGTAATAGATGGAGCTGCGTTATTCCTTCCCATCTCCTCCTCCACTCCCACGCTTCACTTGTCAACAGTTTGCTTGCTATCTCACAACTTGGACGTCACAGCGTTATTATTATTTAAAATACTCTCTGTAAACAGCTAATAACTTCTCTATCTTTATGAATTCAGCATCAATATGTTCCAGCACAGAGCTGCAGAAAGAAATGTTGTGGTTCACTGACAAGCATTTTTAGTCTTCATCAGGTTTTTATTAAGCATATTGCTGGAGATCTGTCTTCAGTGCTTTGACAATATTAATGATTGTATGATGGGAAATAGCACTGTTCTCTCTGGAGTTTATGGAATATTTTAGGCAAACGGAAATAGAGCAAATAGTTTATGTAAAGATGTCATTGTTGGCTTATATTCACAGGTAGCGCTCAGGCTAATTTCATGAAACGTTTGTAAACAACAGCAGCCCCTCATGTGAGCTGCTGTCTTACCCCCCAGTATTTCCCTTGGGTTTTGTTTAAGACACTATGGCTGTAAAGTGAAATTCAGTGATGTTAATTGAGCGAAATACATAGATGAATCTGAGAAGTGCCTGGAAAAATAATTCTAAAGGTCAAATTCAGAGAACACACTCTTACTTTCAATAGCAGGTCTACTTTGCTGTCGCTTCTCTTCCCAATTCTATTACCATCATCCAGTGCTGCACATGGTACTTTTCACACGGTCACCTCTTCCACTGCCTATTCAGTACCAGTATTGTGTCTGATCCTGTTATCTTAAATAGCTGCACCAGCAGTAACACTACCTTGCTTCTTTCAAATTGGTCTGTGAACATCTTGCAACTTAGAGTGTTGCTGATGTCCTTTTAAAAATATTAGGAACACATTATCTTCCTTAACTATCTCCTTAAAGTTGCTTTTAAAGCCATTTGAACATTCATCTCCAAAAAGACTTTATATAGCTAATATTTCAGACAGTTTAACATTATTATCGAAAGCACTTGTTATTGTTTATTGGCAGTGTTAATGAAAATTGGTTCGAGGCCCTGAATAGATTAAATCATAAACAACAGGTAGGAAGAATAAATTCTCTCTTCATAAAACTTCCTAGGATCACATGTTATAGTATGTATTCTTCTCATTTCTAATCATATTTTTGACTCAGGCTGATGTCATGCAATGATGGATATGTTGCAGCAATGTATACTTAGTTTTAAAAAGGCACCCTATCCTTTTGTTGGGAAAATGCTAATGAAGGAGCTGTGTCCTCAGAAGTTGCTATTACCCTGTCTTCACTGTGGAGGTGTCATAAAGGCAAGTCTTAAACGGGGAAGCTAATTTGCTGAGATAAGTCACCTTACATATACAGAAAATCTGTTACCATTCTTCATGACAGAATCTACTTGACTATGTCGTAAGCATATCAGACAAAGCATACAAGTGATTAAATAAACACAAACTAGGAAATTACAGCATTTTGTACAAGAGATATCTGTACTCCACATGTCCTACATTGCCAAACCAATTGCTTTTACTTTCAACCAAAAAAAAGGGGGGGGAGTGATAATTATCAAACTGAAAGATCTTCTAATATCCTCACAGGCTGAAAGAAAGCAAGGCATTATTGTGGACACATTTTCCACGTTTTTCCACAATTAATTTTGAAAAGCAAGCAAAAAAAAAAAATCAAACAAATTAGTGATAATATTGTTGTCATGCCAGACTTGGAAAGAAGCTCTGGAGATCCACACTTGCTGTATACTACATAAGCACACCACATATGCCAGTTTGCAGTCAGCAGTATTTACATATATCAAGTTTTCTACAGTACACTTTTTTCCCAACCAAAAATTTTTCTCCTCCTTTTTCTCTGCCACTGCTTAGAAGTAATCTCTCTCTCTGCCACTGTTTTGCCAATGAGCCATCAGTTTAGAGTCTTACTGATACAAACTAAAGTTTTGTGAAAGTACCCCATTTCCTTTCAAAAATGTTTTGGGTAAACTAGAAATATTATTATATTTTATAAAAGTTGGCAAATAGCTTCAGAATAAAAGTGTTTTTTTTTTCCTATTACTCCCCCAAGAAACTAAATATTTCAGCTTTCTAACTTTAATGACATTTTATATAAAAGTTTGAGCTTAATTTTGTTTAAATGATTCTTAACAGTCTCTCAAAATGAAACTACATTTTTTGGATCACATAATTTCATTTTCAGCTTTCTGGGCAAAACCAAAAAAAAAGTTATTTTATTTGCACAATTTTAGCATCAGCAGCACTGACCTCTTCTGTAACGATAGCTTTCTTGTTCAGTTGGGCAGCCATAGCCTCAGAGAAAATTGTCCAGCTTAGAACAGTTGATTTTAAAATTGTCAGTGCAGTAACTCTTAAAGACTGGATAATATTAAACACTGGTGAACACAGCAGAAAAAGAAGAGAGAGTGAGAATGCACGCCAGAATCAATCTCCAAGGCATGCAAAATTAATCAGAGGTTTTCATTACTACAACATGATCTGCTCAAGTAGGTCCAAAAAGCTTCTAAGTGTTTTTTCAGTCCTGCTTTTGCAAGAGGAACATGACTGGACTTTTATTCTATAGCCTTCCAACAAAGCGTTACAGACTCTTTTCTGTGGCGGGCGAATTAAGTGCGCCGAAGCAGGTAAGGAAACTTTTCCCTGGCGCACTCTGGAGAACAGAATCAAATTTTGTATTTATGTTTCTCCACTTCTTGATAAAACCATATCTCATGGTTGGATTTTTTTCCTGTTTTGAATCAGTAGAAACATAGTGGGTTTATAACTTAGAAGTCTGAAATGACTTAATCGTATAGAAATATTCCAGATTCTATAGTTTTCCAACTTACGACCTTGATTTCTTAAAATACAGCTTCACTGCTTTGGACAGAAATTAAAACCTATGGATATTTTCATTTACTCCAGAATAATAAGATGGGATTTCTCCTTAAAATGCATTCAAAGTCCAGAAATTTTCAGAAATGGGCATGCTCCCGTGATCAATGACTGCTTCCAAAGTTCAGGAGAAACAGTCTCA